GACCAGCAGGTTCTGCAGCAGCTTCTTCCCCGCCGCCATCACACTGATGAACTGATGAAACTCTAAATCTCAGACTCTGCATCACGCTGACATCATCATATTTGCTCCACCAACATGGCTGATTGGTTCATAATTCCTTTAAATGGAACACTACTCAATGTTCTACAGCATTTGCACCATATTTATTTATTTATTTATTTATTTATTTATTTATTTATTTATTTATTTATTTATTTATTTATTTTGCAGTGAACCTTTCCACATCAATGCCTTTTGCACCATGACTTTAAACTGGTTTTCTTGTCTCCCACACTGTGAACATTCTGATCCCTGCTGCACTTTATTAACGGAAATGTTCATTACACTGTTGAAAAGCCGTATCTTGTATAGACTCTGTGTAGAAGATGACAATAAAATGTGTCTAAATCTAAGTGTAGGAAGCCAGAGCGTCGTCTTCTGACGTTCCTGCAGGGTTTTGCCACCATCCTCCCCATCAGCCCGTCTAACTGGATCATCAAGGATTTCCAGCTGGACGGCTTTGAGGTTGTGATGACATCATCACGTGGCTCCAAGCCAGCATCCTACTACAGGGCGGGGTAGTTGTCTGACGGTGAGGTAGGTGGTCTAATGGGGAGTAAGGAGCAGATAATGAAGAACATGCAGGAGGTGTTGGAGGATTCAGGACTTCATGGAAACTTGCTCCAGTAAAGGAAGTTTTCCAGGGTTGTGCAAAGTGTTGCGTTGATCACTGTGAGGCAACCCATTTCCTCTTTCAGGCTGGAGAAGTTATCAATCTTTAAAACCTCCATAAACCAGCAGAGAGGAAGCAGCAGTTACTTTCTGTTCCGTGGTGTTATTGAAAGCTGACAGCAGCAGCGTTTCCCGCTGAGTTCTGGCACTGCTACGGTCCGACCCACACCTGTCTCAGTTCAGCCATCAGCAGACGATGAGGATCCTGGTGTTTCTGCTCCTGGCGCCGGTTCTGGTCCACGGAAGAGTCTTTGAGCGCTGTCAGTGGGCCCGGATGCTGAAGGCTTATGGGATGGATGGTTACCGTGACGTCAGCCTGGCAGACTGTAAGTACAATCATGCTTCATCTGATCAGACGGAACCCAGTGGCGGCTGGATTCAAAGTCTTTAAATGTTATATTTAAACCAGGTCATTGGGCTGGTGGTGCGATGCTCTAGCACCCTCTATTGGCCAGCCTCCACTGACTGAAACTGATGATGCATCAAACATCACAGCAGGCATTTACTTCAAAGTACTACAAACATTACTACACAGTACCTCCTGTAGTCATTCACAGAGAACAAAGATCACATCCGTCTCTGTCAGATGTTCTGGTGGCTGAAACCAGACCAGATTCTGCACTTAGAGTCTCTGTTCGATCTGTCTGTTACTGCAGGAGAAACAAAACAAAAGGTTTCAGATTTGAATACTTTTATGCAGAGGCTGAAAAAAAGGAAATGATCAGAAAATTCACAGCTGAGACCATGATGACCGAGAAGCAGCTGGTCTTCTAGCCTCTGATGGCCTCTGCTGCCCTCTGATGGCCTCTGCTGGCCTCTGCTGGCCTCTGCTGGCCTCTGCTGGCCTCTGCTGCCCTCTGCTGGCCTCTGCTGGCCTCTGCTGCCCTCTGCTGGCCTCTGCTCCCCTCTATTGGCCTCTGCTGGCCTCTGCTGCCCT